CACACGCACGCACACTCATCCACACCCACACGCACGCCCACTCATCCACATCCCACACTCACATCCTCAAAAAAGCCACACCCGGACAGGCTTTAGTAAAAATTTTGGCTCTAAAGGTCTAAAACTGAGTAAATCAGTGACGAAATCATATGAATAATAACAATCATAGTTATCATAAAATTTTTCGGTTATCTCTAAATATCTTACAAAACGGCAAGATGAATACTTTTTGTACCAAAACCGCCTGAATCTTTTGGTTCGTATAGTTATACACACAAGAATAATTTAATGAACAGATTCGTTTGTGATCTGTACTATTGTTCTATTTCGCCAATGACAATTCTAAGCAATAATAGTTTCGTTCAATATCGAATAATATCTACGTCGAGTTTATTACTTTGAAGTAATTCTTATAATATTATTATATATGTAGCATAAATAACTATAAATCGTTGTTATGCGTTTATCAAGTGTTTCTTCTTTTTTAGCCCAAATTTTTTAACTAAGCGAGAACGTGAAACTGCTGCATTACAACGACGACAAGAAGAAGCTGAAGCGATTCGTCAACGCAATGAAGAACTGCTTAAAAAACATGATACATTCAATAAAGAAGCTGAAAGAACAGCTGTCAAAGATGATGGTGGACGCGATCGCCATCGACATGAAGAAGATGATCAAATAGATTGATCAAGTACCTCAAGTAATTCTTTCATGTGTTTATTGTTTTCATTTATAATATGATTTTGTTTCGTCTTTTAGGTACCGAGGGTGTGGGTGTGGATGAGGTGTGGGTGGGTGCGTGTTAGAGCCAGTATCGATACCTACAGCCACAGCCATACCAACATACACCCGCAACCACACCCACACCCCACCCACAGCCACACTCCACCACCCCACACCTACACTCACCCATACCCATATCCACACCGACCCATACCCACACCCACACCCACACCCTTCTCATATATTATCTTGTATCGTGTTTGCCATTATTAATTGATTGACAAATTCAAGAAAATCCTTGGTATCTGTTACCATAGATGGTGGAGCTACGAGGCTTGACTAAACTAGGCTCGGGTAGAATAAGTTTCTCTCATTTCATCAGTTGGAAGATTTATGCCTTACATCAAAATTCTTGTACAAATGTCACAATTTTTTCCGTGAAATAGTAACAATGTGGGTGTGCGGGGTGTGGGTTGTTGATGAAGAGAAGGGCGATAAACACGCACACATCCAGTCACACCCACATCCACACCCTGATAAAGATTATTTCAACCTTGCATTGGTATTAAGGCCCTCCCTCAAAAACCAACTTTGTTATTTTTCGTCCGATTTCCACCAAATTTTGGAAGAATATTAGTCTAGGCTGGGATTGATTATGGGTGAAATATCTCCCCCAAAACGTCAATATACTAACGAGTTATAGTCAATTTATTGGTCAAAAATATCCTGTACGCGGGCAAGGTTTTCGCAAACAGGATACGAGCTACCAGGCGGCGGCGGTTTTTAAGTTGTAGAGTACTCTTCAGGCTGGATCCACACAGAGCCCGATTTTTGAAATTCCCTTTGTTTGTTTTTTAAAAAATACTCTCCAAAAAATTCTAGAATTCATGTCCGAAAAAATCGCTGAGAAAAATGACATATGGGCATGGCCAATCGTTATGGAATTTCATTTTTTTACAATGCAGCGTCTATATATCATTAAGGACAAAAGTGAACTCTCTGTAATTTCTATCATAGATAGAGATCATTGAGATCTATTACCAGGAAAAATTTCATCAATTTCTCTCTAGTCACAGTCGAGTTATTCAACAAATACTAACCGTTACGGAATTTCAAAAAATGGAAATTTTTTTGAGGGTGGGGCGAGAGTTTAGCATCTTACTACGAAACGAAATGGTATACAAATAAACGCTTAACACACAAGTTATTCAGTTTTCCACAAGCTTTCAGAATACCAGGTCATTTATTAACAACCATGATTGCATTGAATAAAAAACTAAAAAAAATACTATCCGTTACGGAATTTCGTCATTTTTTGACGTTTCAAACTCGAAGGTTTAAGGATCTGAAATTTTCAAATTATCGTGATAAAAATATGTCTTTTTCCTGATCCACGAGTAGTACAAAGATAGTTTTATCGTTTTATCGATTAAGTTTTATTCTCACAACGAAAGCACATAAAAACTGCTGACCATTTTTCAGACAAAAATGCAATTAAACAAAATTCAAAATCATGGATTTTTGATGAAATTAGTCAATAAATTTGCTTTTTTGGCATATAATGACAGAAAGTTTTGGTTTCTATCACTCACCAATAAGGTATCTTACAGCTTACAATATGTTTGATAATCTGACGATAGTATACTCAAGATGGCAGAGGCAGTTTTCTTTGACTTTTCTGAGTTCAAACCTTCGAATACGAGGGTGACCGCCAGCTGGCCATGCCCATATGTAAGTTTTTTTATTTCAGCAATAGAGAAATTCAAAATCGGACTCTGTTAGGATCTAGCCGTAACTGTCCTCTATGCAATAAAAAATATTATCACTTCTATATTGAGTCGTTATTAAGTAAGATTTGCCCGCGCAAACAGTATACTTGGAAAAACGGATTTTAAGAAAAATGGAAAATAAGTTTTTAAAAACCTGATTTTTTTAATAGGGAGGTTCGGAAAAACCTATGTAATATCCTTAAAGCTCATCATTAAATTAATCAACAGTAGTGCATTCGAGAGTAGACATTTTGCTCTATCTAACGAGCTATAAATCACAAAATTGATAAATTTGACAAAAATTGACTTCGTCTGAAGGTAAGTATTTCGTTGATACACATTAGTGTATCGTCACTGATTTCATTGTAACGGAGGTTAAGTGTGTCGAGTGTCTATGGAAAATAATGAGTAAATAATTGAATAAGAAGAAGAAGAGGAGTGTGGGTAATATTACTTGGTTTTGTTGTAGAGCATACACTAGATGTTGTGCTCCTTCATCACCGATATGATTACTTGCCAGGTTAAGAGTAGTGAGTGTCTGTGGAAAACAGTAGATGAATGATTGAATAAGAAGAAGAAGGACGCTCTGTAAAAAAGGCCATACAGAACCTACTAAATGGATCCTATGTTATGAACCTTTTTAAGGTTCTAGACTTTTCAGCTGGAAACTTCCGGAAAAGAAGGTTCTAGTTGAAAAGTCTAGAATCCTTTAAAGCTCATAAAATGATACCTATTGGAACGGTTCCGTTTGGTGAGAATTGTTTTTAGAGTGTAGGTAATGTTACTTGGTTTTGTTGTAGAGCATAGGCTAGATGTTGTGCTCCTCCATCACCGATTTGATTGCAATAAAGGTCTAGTGTGGCGAGTGTCTGTGGAAATTAGTGAGTGAATAATTGAATCACAAAAGAAATGTAGATCATATTACTTTGTTTTGTTGTAGAGCATTGCCTAGGTGTTGTGCTCCTTGTACACCGATTTGACTGAAATAGAGGTAAAGTGCGGTGAGTGTCTGTGGAAAACAATAAGTGATTGATTGAATAAGAAGAAGACAGATGTGGATTACGTTACATTATTTTGTTGTAGAGCATAGGCTAGATGTTGTGCTCCTTCATTACCAATTGCATTGTGTCCGAGGTCAAAAGTGGTGAGTGTCTGTGGAAAACAGTGAATGATTGAATGAGAAGAAGAGAAGTGTGGGTCATGTTACTTCGTTTTGTTGTAGACCATGGGCTAGATATTGTGCTCCTTGTGCGCCGATCTCATTGCATCCGAGGTCCAATGTGATGAGTGTCTGTGTAAAACAGTGAGTAAATGGTTGAATAATAATAAGAAGAGAAGTGTAGATCATGTTACTTTGATTTGTTGTAGAGCATAGGCTATATGTTGTGCTCCTTCATCACCGATTTGATTGTCTTCGAGGTTAAGTGTTGTGAGTGTCTGTGCAAAACAGTGAGTGAATGATTGAATAAGAAGAAGAAGAGAAGTGTAGATCATGTTACTTTGTTTTGTTGTAAAGTAGTGGCTAGGTTCTGTGCTTCTTGTGGACCAATGTTTTTGCAACTGAGGTCTAATGTAATGAGTGTCTTTTTGAAATAGAAAAAAGAATAGAAATGGTCAGAGAAGTTGATAAGGAATCTCTTAAACAAACTATAATTGACGGAGAAGAGAGGAAAAGAACGGAAAGGGATACATGTAAAAACAGGCTCTTAAAAAATACGCAGATCTGATAAGCGCCGACCGAGCAGTTTACTTGTGCTTTTTCTGTTGTCTCTTGTATATGTATGAGATCAAGTTATTAGTGGATTTCAGTGAAAGACGCCCATGTCTTATTGCAGCTTCGGACTAGTGGATGTGCTTTTTGGTTTCATACGTTTCGTTAATGTTATTAAGTGCAATTGATTTATATTTCGTTGGTGGCAGTATAGTTTGATTAGTTGGCTTCGATTATAGTTGCAAGGATTAAGAAAGGGACTGGCGAGTTGAAGTTCTTTTAGTTGAATGACATAAAGACGATTGCCGTAATTAAACAGCTTATTACTTGAAACTAACAAGCAACAGAACACAATACCTCTTTTTCAGATAAAACCTACGATGGTGAATGCTTTTGCTAAAGTGACAGACCCGATTGCTAAAATATTCCCGAGCCAATCTCTGCTAGTCGAGTTTCATAGAATGGTTTTACAACAAGATAATATGCGACGATCGGATTGAGATGGGCGATGGCTGTGAAGCTCAGATTAGTTATAGTGTCTTCGGTGTGATGAGCGATGAGTGTGAAGGTGGATGCCTTTCTGCACGATAATGTCATGCATAAATAGCCGATTGGCAACTATCTCCTGTTATTAGACACTTTTGGTCAGGAGAAGAAGCGATCAAACATGGGAGAGCATAGAGGAACACACTGAAGGTTAGTTCTTGTTGAAGAGGTGACACATACATAAGAAAAGAGCGTAGAATAATTCTGAGCAAATTATCCCATGGATTGGATTTGGATCTGAATTTTGTCAGAATGTAACGAAATATGATCGAATCCTTCCAGAACTGAACTTATCGAGTCTTAGTCGGATCTAGCCAGGGAGATATGGTTCATTGGATTCGAGTGGTTTCTGATGGAAATTTGTTGGTATTATGACGACCAAACAGAATCCAATTTCTTTAGTTTTGATCTGGGTCAATATATTAATCGAATATAAGCAGAAAACTCGGTTATTGATCGGATTCTGAAAGTTAGTATTCGATCGGATTGATCGTCAAGTGTCATCGGATTCTAACTCATCTGCTCTGAATTCACAAGCAAGAGTGGATTATTCGGATCACAAATGAATATATGGATCGACAAAAATACTGATTATAATGGTGTTCACACTGGTAATTTTAGAAGCATCAGAATACAACTGTTGGATTTTTGAGCACAAAACCTTCAACACTATGTTCATAAATCCTGATGGTCTTTTCCAGGACTAATAGGTTTCCTCGAAGATTGTTGTTGATTTTAAATCCTTATCTAAAACCTAGAGCATTCTCTCGGAAACCTTTGCGTTTTTCGACGTTTCTTTTATGGGAAACTTTTGTTAGTTTCGAACATCGGAGGCAGTTCAAGGATATGCCAGAAATCTAACTTAGTTTTCTAATATATTTCGGAAATCCTTTGTGGTTTTATCCAAATATTCTCTTTCTGGAATTCATGTTACAATCGTACAGTTTACAAGCTGAGAAGTTCTCTGAGTTTCATAAGCCAAATCTTATTTGATATGTATGTAATTAAGTAGTTTTTAGCATCATTAAAAGTCTCTGGATTCAAAACATACTTTTTTTCTAAAACAATCTTTAATTCAATGATTATGACAGATCTCTCAATTAGAATCGAAGAGCAATACTAAATCGTCACGCTATGCAAAGAATCCCGCTCTTCGTATTTTCTCATTTCTTGATGTATGTTCAACGTTCAGGCATAAGTATACTTGGCATTTCAACGTTGTGAAGTATAACGTGCCTTTCTGCTATTTCAAATTTGTTTCAGCAGATTTATAACGACCGATGACAAACAAGGAATAAATTACATCATCACGGAAGTGTCGTATTTTACAAAAATATATAAAGAATATTATTATTATGTATAGAAGAGGAAAAATTTTTGTTCGCATATTACTCACACGAATCGTCAATTATTATCATCATATGCATCGGACTCATTGAAAGAATCGGATTTGAAAGAAATTGAGTATCCTAAGACTCGACAACTGAATGACTACGGAGACTTGAAGCAACGTCAAGATGACGACGTCGAGATAATTACTTCAATGATTTGATTTATGTCTCTGACACACTTCAAAAGCCTAGGAATTATGCAGTTTGAAGATCTCAACATTTTAATAGGCATGAAGTCTGCTAGGCTTTCAGAGGCATGAAGAATCTGACTATGAAATTGACTTGAAGACGTTGTGAACAATCACGAATTGGGACTTTAAGAAGATCAAACGAGTTCTTCCAAGATTAGCAGCATTTATGATTTCAAGTTTGTTGAAACCAAATATATTGCACTATCAGATATTTGATGTTAAAATATCTTAGACAGCATGGATAATGTTTTTGCAAAGCTCGAAAACTTTGATGGAACGCTCGAAGTGCACAACTTTCTTTGTTGCAAGAAATATCCGATAGGCTTTCGAAAAACGGACACTCTGTTCCGCAAATCTGTAAATGATGTTATATTGTGATGAACCTAGAAAGCCTCTATAAGTTTTTGAGAATAGGTTTTTGAATAGTGTTCTCAAATTGCTATCATCAAAACTACAGGCCATATTCAGACAATTATAAACAAAATAAGTTTCAGAAAGTCCCATTTTTTGGTACTTTTTCAACAAAAAAATAACTTCAGCACCCTGAAAACATATGCTCACTCTATTTTATATTTCTTCAGACCTCGTGGAGTATCATGAAATTCAAGAAATTCTTGATAATGTCTACGAATATCCTCATGAATTCCTTTCATTAATAGAATATAACTAAGTACAGATACGCTTTTCTATGAAATCTATCTTTCTGAAACTGGAGACAGAAACATTATTCCAAAGAATAGATCGACGGAAAAAGAACGACATACTTCAAAGATAATAGAAATGTGACCTGATAATAAAACCAAAGATTACCTGATATCGATGGTACGTGTCTGTAATGACATTGAGTCTTGTACAGACATTACGACATGACAGAAAAATTGTTTCAACGTCGAGATGGTCAAGAATTCGATAAACCAACTCGACGAGTAATGTATGAAGTGATAGAGTCATTTTATCAGTCATTGATGTTGTTTTTTTCGAATGTGTGTATTTTAAAATACTCTGTTCTCTTTTAAGTGTTCCTCTGTGTAGAATGTGTTGTAAAATTTCTCATGATGGTGCAATTTTTATTCATACATATAGAACTGCAAAGATGTGATGAGAATGGTGTAATAAAAAAGTTTCATAAAAGCAACGACACATCACTACTTTTTTCTTTGCATCTTATGCAAAGCATTGAATTTGTTTGTATGTTGACTTTTCTTTTTTCTCCAACACTGATGAGAATTCAATTCTTCACTCTCCTTCGCGTTTTTATTTCAGCATAAAAGTAGTGAGAAAGAAAGAAACAAATTACAATTTTCGAAAATAATGAAAGACTAAAAGAGAAATGCCATGAATATAGACATTTATAGTTATGTCAACATCCTTATTGCATAAAATGACATATTCTTTGTCTAGTGGATAATTTGAAAGATAGATGAAATTGATCGGTCGTTGCTACTATTAACTGTATGCTTGATTATATTTGTATTTCTTCCAAATATTCAGAGCACATATAAAATATGTATATTATTTATTTTCCAAATTTCAAGTATAACCATAGTCAAATGTTTTTTTCTTTTTGTACACATAAGAATTGTCTGTAACTAAATAGATTTTTTGTTCTTCTTTATTTGTTGTGTTAAGATGATACGAACATGTCGAGATAACCATCTTGTTGATGATATGTGGTGGTATTATTGTCTTCAATGTTATGGGATATACAAATGCTCAATATACTATTCTCTACTATCAATATCGTGATTTATCATGTCAATCTTATCCTTTCATGGGATATTCTTTTGCAGTCTAATTGAATATCATTACCTATTCCTCATAATTTTACAAATGGTTTCTTTTCGGGAATTTTTTGGAATTTATTAGAAACCAATGCAACTCAAAATATCTTAAAAATGGCAATCGATCTGACACTACCCTTAGCTCCTGTTGCCAATCTTACCGGCACACATGATGTTGGTTTTGTTATCATGTCAAGTTTTGGTCATGGATATTGTTGATTAAAATTACCTGAATATTTACAGATTATAGTAACAACTGTTCGTTTATTATCAACTCGATGTTCACCTATCGTTCGCTGTACACGATCTTGGAATGGTAAAGAAGGTTTTTTAGTTATTATTGATAATATGATGAATTTGGAATTATTATTTGAAGCAAGTAATCGAACAAATAATCAAACATGGTAAGATATGGTATGGCAATATGCTAATCGAACTATGTATGAACATTTTCGACCAGATAATAGTACTTATCATGTTGTTGAATATAATGAAACAGATGGAAGTTTTATTCGAAAATATACTGCGCAAGGTAGACAAAATAAATCTACATTATTCTGTGAATAGTTTTTTCTTTATTTATAGGTTATGCTGATTGATCAACATGGTCTTGTGGACAAACATGGGCTATACATGGTTTTACTATTGCTTATCGCTATACACAATATCAACCTTTTCTTGATAAAGCTATTGGTATATCAAATTATTTTCTTTCACATCTTCCTAGTAGTACAGATTTGATTCCTTATTGGAATTTCGATGCTCCTCATAATTCAACTATTCCCTATCAATCACGAGGTACATCAGCTGCAGCTATTTTTGCTAGTGGTCTGATGGAATTATCTCAATATGTTACAATACCGGAAATCAACGATCATTTTTTAACAAGTGCTAAAGCTATAGTTGATCAACTAACAAGTCCAACTTATTTGATATTAGGCAATAGCGATTATATTTTACGTGCAATCATTGCTAACGGAACACATGGTTCGTATCCAGCAAAACCTTATGATGTAGCTACGGCGTTTGGTGATTATTACTTGACACAAGCTGTTTTACGTTTATTTAAACTTTGATAATCATTTTATGTTTTTTCTTCTGACGATCAAAGAAATTTTTTTCATTATTTATAAAAAAAAATAAGCCTAACAAAGAAGGGAAAGTATTAGTTTTATACTATTAAGATTTAAACGAAAAGTTACGATAACTAACTAACTCTATCAATTACATAATACTATACTTCAGATCTACGTGTCAAAGAACGGAATAAAATACAACTTCTTACAGAAATATTCGATCTTTTTATCATTAATCTGTTTAACATAGTCATTTTGCTTTGCGCCTTCTTACTAATTGGTGTGGGTGTGGGTGTGGTGTGGGAGTGGTGTGAGTGTGGTGGGTGTGGGTGTGGGTGTGGTGTGGGAGTGGTGTGAGTGTGATGGGTGTGGGTGTGGGTGTGGTGTGGGAGTGGTGTGAGTGTGGTGGGTGTGGGTGTGGGTGTGGTGTGGGAGTGGTGTGAGTGTGGTGGGTGTGGGTGTGGGTGTGGGTGTGGGTGTGGGTGGATATGGATTTGTGTGTGTTTTTTCCTTCTGTCCTTCCACACCCACATCCACACACCCCACCCACACCCACACCAACACAACCACACCAACAACCACACTCACACCCCACACCCACACCCTTTTTTTAGTGAGATCAATATCATCGTAATTTTTTACATATTCTGATTATTCTTTTTTCACTGATTTCTATGAGTCATAAAGAAATAATACTGAAATTATGCATATTCACATGTAAGTTTCATACAATTTTAACGTATATCAAATGACTGACGAGAAAACTTCTATCCTATGAATGCGGTCATCACTGAAAGTTTTTTTATAATTAGTACACTATGATGCTAAATATATTAAGAAACATCTGTGTTATATGGATGTTGAGCAGCTGTATTTATATTAGTACAGAGCTAACAAAAAAATGAAAAGTGGAGCAAAATTTTTTTTAAATTAAAATCGACAGGTAAATTGATGACATACTTCTGTGGAGTTTCTTCTGAATATGCAACTAAGACAAACAAAAAAGATCAACAAAAAAAAGTACAATAGTAACAAATAAATCAAGGCAACAAAAACACACAAAAAGCCACTGCGATTATTATTACTATTGACACTTTTTTCTTCTTCCATTCTTGTTTGTACAGAAAGTGCCAATGTGAAGAATTTTTCTTTCATTCTGTGTGTTGTAATTTGTTTTGGAGTTCTTTTCCAGTGTTGAGAAGTTATTAATAAGAGCAACACTGATTGCATTAGATATTCTATTTAAATAGGAATTTTATATGATAGATAAATCTCGAAATTCCTACAAATTCAAACGAAAAATCGGTTGACATTCGTGTTTTTCGTGAAACATCTTTGAAAAAAAAATCATTTCTTATTATTTTTTGTCATGGAACACAGTAATTAATAATGATTATTTTGTATCAAAATTTTCACATGTTTTGACTTAGACTCAGAAATAACTATAGAATGTGATGGTATAATCGTCCTGCATTCATTATACTTAATAATCACTAAAGATATTAGTTGTTCCAATCGTAATAATACTGTTTCCTAATTTAAATATTGATCGACAAGAATATGAAATCATTAACATAAAACAACGCACAAGATAAATGGATATTTGTTCATCTCTACATAAAAACTCAGTCAATTCAGTAGACCTCAAAATTTAACTTCGAAATCAAAAAAAAGTTTAATAGAAAAAAGTGAATGATAAAACAAAATCATCATATCGGTCAAATTTTGTTTGTGAATTAGATTATATAGGCATAATCAATAGCAATAAATTTTTGGAGGTATTAGTGAATAATATAGAAGAGATATGAAAAAATAGTGAATATTTTATTTGGAAGTTGCTTCTTCTTTTTTTCGTTTCAATTCTAACATTTTAATATCAAAATTAAGATCAGATTATAAATGTCATTGTAGATAAAGAGAAAACATCCATCTATTCAGTTGATAACTCTGCTGCAAAGACAAACAACAAAAATTCTTTTTCTAAAGTGTGTTCAACTAATGATAATTTGACAAAATAGAAAAATAATAGTCAATCTCTAATAATTAAAGACATGATTTTATTCTCATTATGATAGTTATTCTTGTTAAATATCAGAACTGATATGTTTTATTTTTATGAAAACAATAAATATATCATGTTACAAATAACTACTTGTCAGAGTCATGATTATTTATAATTCTACTGGAATCAATTAGTCAAGTTGAGTATTAGAATCTAATTCTTTAATTCTATTTTTGTTATGAGGATTCCGAAAAACATCTTATGCATAACTCATTTTCAAAAGAAAAATTCTTTTAAGAAAAACTGTTTTTGGATATTATAGTAAATATCTTTGTATTAAAATGCCTTATCTATGTATTCAATCTTTACATTTTGTCTTATTATCGATACTATATTAGAATAAATTTAAAATACAAATCAAATGTTGATAATATTTAAACATTGTTCTTATCTGTAACTAAACTGTTGCGTTGTTCATCAATCTTTTTTAGCAATGTCAAATCGAATTCGATCATTCTCCCTCATGTTTCCATTATGCTACTGATGTGAATGTCAATATCAGTTATCTGATGTATTGTGTTCAATGAACATAACTATATTAATTTCATTTAAAGAAAAGAATATTCTTGCTAGAAACTATTAAATTCAACATATCTCCTTTTATGGAAGATATACGTAAGTGTTGAATGAATATTTTCAAAGTAAATCAGACTCATTTCGTCCTTTATGTCGATTTATAACTTGTATTTCTATACTTTTTTTAGATATGTATTAATGAAGAAAAAGTTGTCATTTCAAAAAAATCAATAACATATATGATGATAATTTCTACTGTAGACCCAACATGCTAAATGTTAATATGTAACATCATTTCTTTATTACTTTACGGAATTTTTCTCGTATAGATATCGAAACTAAAAAGGGATTTAATGAACATTTTATCTTACATGGTTTTTCAAAACGACCATCAATAATATTTGATTTTTATTTTATAAATTACATAATTACAATTATAAATTCGAGGACAAATATTAATCGATATTTTGACGTATAAAATGATGAAGAGTTAATATATATTTATTGAGAAGGATTTTTTGCATTAGAAAAAAAATAGATCTTTAAAAATATGCTATATGTACATATTATCATTGACGATTCGTATTCTTCTCATAATTTTTATATAGTTCACTTTCATAGAATTTTACATCATCATCTTCACATAATTTTTTAATATATATTTTTTTTACATTTAGTAATCGTATCGTGAAGATACTTTTGTTTTAAATAAGACTCTTCAAGTAACTGAGAAAATTTTCAATTGTACATGTTGGAATATTAAATATATTTAATAGTTTAGAACAAGTTGTAAGTGATTGATTTAAAAATGATGTATACAGTTATCAGACAAATAATCATGATTAGCTTGTTGACAACTGTGAAAAAGAATATGTAATAATTATTAAAATTTAGTATATGAAGAACTAATGAGAGATAAAGTTGTTAGATAGAGACATTCAAATTCAATATTTTTTTTTACGTTGAAAAATTAATTTTTTTCACGAATTCTGATTTTAAATTAGCTAATATCGGAGTCATAATTGACATCTAGAAATTCTACAAGTTTCTACTATTCATCTATTGATAGTTTTAGTCATAAAACTATCTTTTTTTAATTGATACTATTTCTATTTTTTGTGAGTTGTCTCATAAATTATGTTTTTATTCTATGTACATTGTATCTCAAAATTATAGAATTCAACAGTTCATATGCATAAAACTTTCCTATACTTTTGAACAAAGTAATCTTTAATATACACGTATATCTTTCTAGTACAATCTCCCAATATCAATCTCGTTTGTTTATGATTCTATTATCTACATGAATCCCGATAAAATCTTCAGAAATCCTATTCCAGTTTTATAAGATATCTCATTAAAACAATTAGGATGGAGTACGATCATCTATATATATATATTGAATTATTTTCCAATATAACTATATAGAAACTCTAGATCAATTATGAATACATTAAATTCCAATTCAAAATTAATATAATGAAAATCTAGCATTTATTCGTCTTTTCGAATATTTCATAAATCATTATTCTCAAATCTCAAAAAAGATTCTCAAGCTATATGGATGATCAATCAACAATTTAGTTCAATGTAGAGACTCATACAAGTCTAATATTTTTACATGTATCGCAAGAGTATGAAAAAAAGAACATTATCTGTGTTACTATTACATTTCAATTTTATTGAGATTTTCAAAATTAACTTAAGATATGAGGCAGCAATTGACTTGTTGAGTTAATTAATACATGATGCATCAATATCATGAAATAGAAGTATGATTTTCAATTATTTCATATTTTTTTGAAGATCTCAATTAGATTTAGTGATTATAAAAAATATATTACGTTTATATTCAACATATTTTCTAATAATTGCCTTAATTTTTATTGATTTTATTCACAATTAAATGTAATAAAACAAAAAAATCAGCTAATATGACATGATCGTGAAATACTAAATTCTATTCAACTATGATAAATACGTATATGTAAAAATTGAAAATTGAATTCAATTATTTAATTATTGACTATTTAAAGTTCAACAATTTCATTATTGAAAACATTCTAACAATTGAATATGACAAGAGATCTTTTTGCCTGCACGTTGAATTAGATGCAACATGTTTTTAGAGAAACGATTAAAATTTCAACTATTACTATATTAATTGCTGTTATTGCTATATCGTCATGTATTGTAAACGTTACGAAGTGCTTTTTGATAGAATTATAAGTTTAATTAAATATAAACATCTTGTACCGCAACAAGAGTCGAAATTTAGAATTAACACATTCATCTCTTCAAGAACACCTTTCATCCACCGAGAAGTCACAAAATGACTTGACCACTAAAAAAACTAGTAAACTATCATTAAAATCTGCTGTATTATGGTAAAAATCTATCTAAAAAGTTTTTACACGATTTCCTATTTAGCTTGGATTTTCCACTTCATTTCCTTCATGCGTCAAATTCATCAAGAAACACTTGGAAGAAAGTTTAGAATAATGATTGATCTAGTCTATCGTGCTTCATTATATAATTGTGCAGTATATTTTTTTAAATTTACTCTCTGAAATCTACTCAAATACTATGCCATATCATATTTCTCTAGAAGAGATTAAATAATATCAAACATATGTTCCATACTGTTTTAATTTTTTTGAGTGAGTATTGATGTTATTAAAGAATTTGTCATTTATCTAAATAGATCATCTAATAAAAACTTTATCGCTTACTTATCATAGATAATGATTTGTTTTAGTATTTAAACAATAGTTGCAACTTTTAGAAACTTTACTAGATGAAAGCTTTCACTTTAGTGAAAACAATTGAAGATCATGTTCACATTCAAGTCTACATTTACACTTTGACATTCTCTGAAAAAAGTTAGCAAAGTCTTCAATTTCTCATATTACTATAATGGACAATCATGCATATTCAATCCTTGGAAACTAACAATATAAGTGATATGTTGAGTTAAAAATTCATTATGATAATTATTCATTCCTTTTTCTATATCTTTCTTTTATTTCTATGTTTAAATTAAGATATTTTGACTTCTTATTTATGCAGAGTACCAATAATTTAATCTTAATATAGATCAGAAAAGATATTGATCATAAAATTTTGTATTATTTTTCTTCCGATTTACATATATGATTTTATTCTGCGAACAGTTGAATTATTTCTATTACTGAAAACAAAAAAACCATACGTTCAGATCTTATGAATTGCAATTTTTTCAAGAGATTAAATCTGGTTGTGTGAATATGTTTCGTAATGAAGCTCAGGAGAGATATTTATTGGAAGAGAGAAAAGAATGTGTGTCAATTCATTTAGAATTTATAGTATGAGTTGACATCTTCATTTATGAGATGTATCTAAATTACAAGATAATAGTTTAATAATATATTCTTTGATTATGTAACCGCATACAAATGATAGTTTCCTACTAACTATTAAATTCAATATTTGACTAACGATTGATCTATATATGACTCGTAAGAAGAATTTCATAATAATCTTGTAAAAAATGCGGTAATCAACTATCGTATTCTAGAATAGAAAGTCATTAAAAAGTATTACTGTTATCACAATTAATTCTTTTGTTGATAGAAACACAAAAAAAACTATTCGAACATGATAGTCATCGTTGTTGACTTATTGTATCACGATGAATAATAACCTTCAAAAGATTTGGTACCCCTTTCTTAGACGTGAAATCTATTCAATTGTCAATAATCTATAGAAGATATCAAATGATTTTTTGTCCTTTCATTGAATATTTTACTTATTCATAGTTTCTATAGAACATTTTAAATTGTTGCGAAGATGAAGATAGATTTTCTCTTGATAATATATTTACAATTGATTCTTCATGATACAAATGAATTACTTAATGGTAATATTCTACAATTTGATTGTCTATTTTATCCTGTAACTAAGGAAAAATTAGCTTATCAAGAATTATCAAATGTAATCGACGAATTAATTCCATATTGTTTTCGACCAATAAATATTAATGAAAGTTTATTTCGAAATCTTGTTCATAGACAAGATCAATATGTTACATTTAAAGAATTACGTATTTCAAATATTAGTATAGAAGAATTAATATCATGGTCAACTCTAATTGATTTGATTGAAAAATATCAATTATATTAAGATGAAATAGATTTATCTTTATCTAATGAATTATTTTATAATTATTCAAAACCATGGTTTAGTTTAAAATGTCAATAATTGATATTGTTGAAAATGAATTTAATATAAAAAAATGTTTTATTGAATCATCAAATATGTTAATAGAATTACCATGTTATATTCATATAGAATGTAATCGTGGTGGAAAAAAATTAATGGTTTGATTGGCGTGAAGTATGTAATGGATATATTGATTGTATTGATGAAGGTTTAGATGAAGCATATTGTGTTGATATGGAAATAAATGAATGTAAAGATAATGAATATCGATTTCATAATGGTTTTTTGTATATCAGAAGAATTTTGGAAAAATGATTTTGGTGATGCTGATTGTCTTGATCGGTCTGATGAATTTGCTAATGTTTTATATCCAAATAATTGTTATCGAGATCCAACATTTCGTTGTGAAGAACATTTATGTCGAACAAATTGGTTTGATTTTTCATGTGGAGATGGACAATGTATACAAACGTTTGATAAATGTCATAATAGACATCATCTTTTATTAATACAATTAATATCAAATCAAGGTTATTTATCAAATAATTGTTTAATAGCAATGATGTGTTTTATTCAAGTAATTGAAGAAATTCATGAAATATTATCTGAAACATTATTTTTAAACAATTTAATTAATGATTTTATTAAGAATTGTGATTCTATATTTCAATTTCCAATAAATCCAATATATATGAATCATATTCATCTTTTATATGGGTGGGTGTGGTCGTTGGTATTCCTAAGACGAATGCTAACACCCACATCCTATTTGATATCTTTTCGAATGTGACAAAATTTTAGTATTTTGTTCGTTGGTCATAAGAGTATAGTGACTTGAAAAGAAATCAAAGTAGACATCAAACTGAAACTATTAAATCTATATGTCAGGATATATTATTTTTAGACTTTTCCGATTCTGCTTTATAGGTTTAAAATTATTTTATTTTAACAGTTTAAAAGTAAAAATTTTCAATCTTTTAGATAAATTTCAGTAAAGTTTTTGAGTTCTTCATCAACTTGAAGTACCGTGAAATAGATTGTGTCACAAGTTCCTTGACGAGATTAATTGTATTTATGTAAGCTCTTCTACTGTTCCTATCCTTGCTATGCTACGAGCTGCAAGGTATTCTTCATAGTCTAGAAGAATACTTATCATTTATTTTTTTGTTTCTACCTGAACATTTTCATTTCGTCGTTATAATTATATATAAATACTTGTAAATATTAAAACAAAATAATTTATATTCATTAATTAATAATTGATGTTTCTTTTTTCACAAAATATATATATAAAAGGGCATCTATCATTTTTAGAATACTGACAATGTATTAACAGTCATTCAAGATAAATTCAGAGAATTTTTTTTGTCTAAAATTATCATTTATACCTAATATATATTATCTTAAAGTATTTATAATAAAAAAATAATATAAATTTGAAAATCTAAATAAAAAATAATATATTTATTTATTATTTTCAATATGATTATTTACTTCTTGTATTCATAATTTATAAATGATTTATTAAAAACCGTTTAAGAAAATATTCATCAAATAAATAATATCTATTTTAATAATAATTCTAATGATCGTAATAAATAAGAAAAATATATAAATGAAAGTATTTATTTGGATTTGTTTTAAACGAAAATAAATGCGAAAACATCCGATTTAAATCCGAGTGTTATGTGTACTTCAAAAAGTGAAGAGGTATATTCACTTTGTTTTTTATCAACTGAGACATATCTGCCCTATTTGCTTTCTTTGTGTAATTTTTCTGCATTTTGAGACCTTTTTCGGGGGATGTTTTGCTAGAAAGCTACGATTTGCTTCAAAACTAATATCAAATTCGGAATCGGCGTTAAAAATTGAGTCGATTTATATATGTTGTGAAGAATTCGGAGAAAAAAATATTTTTTTTGAAAAACTCCCTGTACTCCCCCTCAGGGATGGTCTTCTCAATAATGACAATTTTTTCTATAACTCAGCCATTTCTTGACAGATCCTGTTCATCTTCGAACTCGACCGAGACATTGTTAAGACTGAACTGTGTAGAAAATTTCATCGTGATCGGACTCTCCTTTCAAAAGTTATCGTGTTAACGGCTGGACATACTGACCGATTCTAGAGTGTACTCGCTTTTTGAGTACACAAAAACATGTTGCTATTGGAACTTCAGGAATAATTGCTGTTATAATAACTTTTTCAGGTCCGTCTTTTGGTGAATAAAGACGAGAACATTGTGGGGTGTGGGTGTGAGCCTTGTTTTCGACTGACCCACACATACACTCCATTTTTGCTAGTAATCTTGGCGTAAAACTTGTTAGACTTAATATTTTGAGCTGAAATTTTCACTGTGAACTATCTAGCATGATATACACGTCCTCTGAAAATTTCGGCAGAACTGGAAAATCAAGAGCGAAAATAAGAATTAAAGTGGGGGAGGCTTAATAGAATATCTTATTAAATCTATGCCTAATTTGCAAATTATGAAATTTGTTGAAACATGAGATTTGTATCAATAAATATTTGCTTGTTTTAATTAAATGTAGAATGCATAATGTAAATAGAAGTTAGTGATGGTAACTTATTTATTTGGGAATTTTCGATCTTTTCGATCATTTTCAACCACACAACTGGACCTTTAAATACTTACAAGACTTTTCCGATATTTACAAGCAAATATCTATTGATGCAAATCTCATGTTTCAACAAATTTCATACATAAATGCTAAAAAATGCGAAGTAGAAGCAAACAACATGCGTTCTATTCATAGTTACACAATCATGTTTTAGTTTTCATTGTGTTTATGGTATTGTCTTGTAAATATCGTAAAAGTGTTACAAACATCGGAAAAGTCTTGTAAGCATTTAAAGGTCCTGTTGTGGGGTTGAAAATGATCGAAAATTCCCAAATAAATAAATTACCATCACTAACTTCTATTTACATTATTCATTCTACATTTAATTAAAACAAGCAAATATTAATTTGCAAATGTTATACGTAGAATATGTTGTTAACACACAAAATCAACTGTATCCGGTAGATAACAGAGCCAAAGAAACTCAATCTATCGATCGATTGCGAAAAGATTTATCGTGTAAACGATCATCGATTGAAATATCTCATTTACAAAGCAGAATCATACTAAGAATGTCCAAAACAAAGGTCGATTTAATGATATCGAGAAAACTGAACACATCAAGATCGTTTGTTATTACATATTGACATTTAATCACCATCTGTTTTTCTTTATATACGGTCTTTTTCTTTCTGAATAAAATATTCGAATAACAAAAACAGAGTTAATGAAAGAACTTTCTTTCTTCATTTCTTGATATGCTGAGAATATGAATGAATATGAAATTTATATCAACACCGGTGATGACTGAAGAAATGATTGATACATACATATTGTAACTGATACGGAGACGAATAAATTTCTTCTTCAAGTGATTACTATTTGTAACTTCAGAAGACAAACAGAGTCGTAAATATACTTTCAGATTACTAAAGAGAATCAAAGTATAGTAGAAATTATGCATGGTGGGTGTTATTTGTCATAGAATAATCATTGCTATCACATGACACGTGGGATGCTATTCATTTTTAAGCACCATACAAATACTCTGAATATAGATGCAAAAATGTTTCTAATAGGAAAAATATTTTTCACCAGCTAGACTCCTAGAATTTTTGATGCTATAATTCTTATGAGATAAACTGTAAGTTCCTTTTTTATTTGAAATACTAGGATGGTTTGTTTATAAACATTTTCCACTTGAACTTTCGAAAAATCTTTTCTCTCCTTCCTAGTCTGTAGAAACGAATACATATGCACCGATGCCTATAATCATTGTACAAGACTTCAGGATTTTATCTTAGTCTTCAAAACCTAAAATCACTAGTAAATATTCAGATAGGATGGCTTCTGGTCGAAAAAAATTAGAATGAGTAGTAAGAACTTCTAATACGATATTTTGGGACTATATATACTAAGAGAAGAAAAGCAAGCAATTATTAATCGAGGATTAGCTATTCATAGGTTTATGCTGTGACTTTTTAAATAAATTACGGAAATACATCACTCTATGCTCCTATTTCATTATCTTTGACTCACAGCTCTCATGCAATAAGCTCTAGAATGTTCTATAAAATGTTAAATTGTTACAGATAGATTTTATGTGTCTGAATACATGCGTTTACATCTAATTCTTCGACTACTTTAGATCAAAAATATGAACAGTCGTGCTGTGTCAGACACTACCGGAATCGCCGCGCTCGCAGCGGCAAACCCACTGCTCCCCAGGGATGAATCAATATTCGAAGTTCATCCTACCGAACCAGATTTCCCTTATCTCAATATAGGTACGATTCATATTTCGCGGGAATCGGATCGTTTCAATCCTTCAACAAATCTAATTGGTATGATCATTTACGGCTATAGAGGTGCAACTGATTTCTATTTAAATAATAGAAATTGTAAAATAGGCCATATTTTAATAAAAAGGAGCGACGAAATAAATCACATTCAGGCAGATACAGCGCATAAAAAGCTTTTCAAGTGGTTCTTTGGTCAAGATTTACCTCCTGAATTTATTGCTGGTGGGTTTGCATATCAAAATGGTCAATGGAAATACAATGCGCTCGTATTTAATACTAAACAAGATATCTATCATAATAATAAGAAAGAAATGCCTCTTACTGAGAAACAACTGCTTGGTGGTGCTTTGTCACGACTTTACATCAATCATCGATGGCAACAAGATCCAAATATTTCCGTACGAGAAATTTTTTCGTCAAATGAAGGATGGCAGCTATTCGAATCAGTGAATACTGTTGTTAACCCGAGTATGTTTTCTGCTTTTCTATTTCTCTGAGTGTTGTAAATAAGTAGGTTTTTAATAAGCATAGCAGAAATCTCAATATCTCGATGACTCTTTTATTTATTTCATACTTCTATTTTAGATCGTGTTGACAAAGTAAATAAATATGGTCGCGTAGCAACTATTGGAGTAACCGGCAAATATTATTGTGGTGACTACCTTGATGTCATCCGTTGCTGTTGTTGCGATGGTAGATGCGGTCCAGGTAATGGATGCAATTGCTCTGGTTGTATGGAACTTGACATTGAAAATCGCAGACTACCGAAAGGGGCATTGGTCAATCGAGATGGTGCACCGGCAAGTCGCAGTCGAATAGATGGAAAAACATTCTATTGTGGTCGTCCCGTATTGACACGAACGAATTATTGTGATGGATACTGTGGACCTAACAATGGACCTCAATGCTATGCTTGCCAAGCACTAAATGAACAAACGCCACGCTATAAAACATTATTAAATGAATACGACTATACATAGAAATTGTGTACATGTAGCATTTAATAAAATTTATTTTCAGCAATGACAAAACAATTTGTCTTTTGAAATTGGTTAGAGTTTCATCATTTATGCTTTAGCAAACTCTAGACTATATTGGATTATTTCCCGGACTACTTAGCTGTAATTTGAGTAGATACGATTTTACTTTCGGAAGAAATGATTCGAGTTTACAATGGATCAGTCCATCTTCGCTATTTCTGTAATCTATCTAAAAGAAGAAAAATAAGAAAAAGAAAATATACTTTTATTCCACTTTGACTAGGATATCGCTCGTGCTCTTATAACATGTAGATGCATAGAATAATTCCCTATTTTTACAGAAGATTGCAAGACCTCTGAAAATGACGTAGAATCTTGTAGGTGTATTATCTACAGTTACAATATAATATGTGTGACGAATTGGTTACATCGATATGAGGATTGATTTTTGATGTTCAGATAGAATTCGTGGGATTCGTATTTCTTGAATTTAGCCAATATTCACTGGCTTTATTCCTTATTAAATCTTCATTAATCGTTTTGTTTTATCCTCTTGTCATTTCATTTCATTTTATTCAAATAATCGATCTTAAAAATTTGAATCTTTCATTTCTCATAAACAATTATTTTCCCTAATATCTTGAGGGTGTGGGGTGTGGGTGTGCGTGTATGAGTACGACTAGTCTCCTCGCCGACACCCCACAGGCGCACCACGCATTTCACTCCACCCCACCCACACCCACTCTCTCGAATTGAAATCCTTGAGGATCCTCGGAGGATCCTTGGAGAAATCTCGGAGGATTCTTGGAAGATCCTTGGAGGATCCTCATGGATCTTCGACGATCTCAGAAAGATCATTTACGGCCGTGTACACCACCGGAAACGGCCGGTTCTGGTCGCCGTAATGTTCGTTCTTGGTAAGCTTTGATATAAGTCCAATGTCAGATTGTATAGATGATTATTATTTTCAATATGAAATATAGATTTATTTCATAGTTAATTATGATCTCTATTTTTATTGAATATATTCTCCAACATGAATTTGAATGTTTGTATTTAAAATTTGAATATTAAACATTTCTGTCGATCAGTTTTTCCTTTAATTCTACTGAAATATTAGTGATCTATTCAGGGTGTGGGGTATGGGTATCTTATTTAAATGCACTAATAGCCACATCAGACACCCGTACCCTTACTCCATAGATATGAAAAATGACAATTGAACATTTATATCATAAGTAGAGTTTAAAAAAATGTGGATGTACATCACTTCTCGATTTATCGGATCAGTTTATCTTTGTTTGTTTCAAATAGTCAAAACAAAAGTATTTTACGTCGTATTTTATTTCGTATGTAATTCTATATCAAAAAAGAAGACGTCACAGGATAATGGTCAGACAGAAATGCAGTATTTTCGTTATCCAACACATTCGCCTCGATCCTTTTCTCTGTTAACGTTTTCGTTGCTAAGATGTAGTCAAGTCTCATATGTAAAGCATGCATTGGATCAACTTCTAACTTTGTGGGAACACTTGGTCTGAATTGATCAGACTCACTAAGAGTATCAATGTATCCTTGTTGAATGAAATAGTTCAGAGTCGTGTAGTCGATTGACTTTGAATCAGGAGTCAAAAATTTGTCTATCAGCTTGCTAGTACCAGTAAACTTTGTTGCTGGTTCATAATAGGCGGCATCACGTTCTGATAATGAGTTCAGATCTCCTGCAATGATCCAATCTTGCAAATCTTGTTTTTTGATTTCATCAGTGATCATTTTTGCTTCGATTGTTCGAGCTGTCCCGGTAAATGGATTTAAATGAGTTGCCACAAGACCAATCTTCGTTTCATCATTCAAATTCACTTGAACGAAAAGAGCACCATAATGCATTCTATGCTTCATTTGAGCAAGTTCAATCAGTGGAAATGATGATGAAATTCCAAGATGAAAATTAGTAGAGGCAGTAAGAAAAGCGGTATGTTGATGATTCCATTGGTTGGCAAAATCTGAAAAATACAGACTGTCAAAACCATTCAATTCAGTGAGAACGGTGACTGTTGCATTTAAACTTCGCAGATAAGTCGCAATAGCAGTGAGCCGACTGGAAGAATGCCCATTGTCGGTAGGATTAGAAGTATCGACTCCACCCTTGAAAATATTGTAAGAGACGATTTTGAAATGAATTGTCATGCTGAAATTTTAAATAGAGATTTGCAATTAGAATTCAGTATAATAGTCAGTGGACAAATCAGGATGAGTCATCGAATCAATAGCAAATTTCGAACACACTAATGCACTTAGTAGTGCACCATTTGCGCCAATTTTTAGAAGGTTTTTCTTGGTGTCATTTTGTTCCTAAAAATGAGCTAGACCTTCTAGTGTAATTAGATTTTTCGGCCTAAGAGCCATTTCCGAGAAAATCGAAGTTTCTGTAGAC